CTGTTGAAAGTAAACCCGTAACATCCTGTTGCTCATTTTCGGACACGATGTTCCTCTTATGTTGAGGCAACTAAATCCATCTCGCTGTTAGTCGTTTCTGGTTCCTCACGCGATGCTTTCTGCACAATATTGTATAGACGTAACGTAGCGATTACATGAACCTACCTGTGTCTCTCGACGAACTATGTATGTACGCAGGTAGATGGCGGGTGCTCTTGTGTGGTTTGCTCCCTCTTTCCCATCAAACATCTATCGTCCTTATCTCTCCTCCTTCTTTTTTATGTTTGTAACTCTCTTGCAACACCTCTAATCCCAGGCACTTGTATGACCTTATTGTGTTGCAAAAACCGCAATACTCTTACTGAAACTAAAATACGTGTGTCCATCTTCTCTTGCTGGTCTTCGTAAAGATTATTTTATTATATTCTTTTAATTACATAACGGTCGTGGGAATTACACCCTCTTTATTAGAGTGTACCTTCACAAATGAATATTTTTTTAGTTTGAATAACGCAAGACTATCATTTTAAAAAAGGCCCTAACATGTTATAATATTACTTGGAAAGTTTTTACTCCTCCATTTAGTTCCTTTACAATTTCACATTGGATTGTGTTTTTGAAATACTTATCTAATTTGGTCACAGCAAGTCTAATTGTTCGTGCTCATTCTTCTATCTTACATGTGCTTACATATCTACTTGCATTCTTAGTCTACATGTACTGATAAAGTCAGCCCTGCGACATCGTATATGTTCTGTACCCACACCATTTATTTTAGATAGTTTTACATGTCTACCAATCACTGTCCTACATGTACTCGTCTCACACAATATACCAATCACTGTCCTACATGTACTCACACAATACACCTATCACTGTCCTACTTGTACTCACACAATATACCAGTAACTGTCCTACATATACTCACACAATATACCAATCACTTTCTTACATGTGGTCACATTGTATACCCACCACTGTCCTGCATGTGGTCACAATATCTACCAATCAGTGTCCTACATGTACTCACACAATACACCAGTCACTGTCCTACATGTACTCACAAACTATACCAATCACTGTCATTCATGTACTCACACAATACACCAATCAGTGTCCTACATGTACTCACACAATATACCAATCACTGACCCGCCTGTACTCACACACTATACCAGTCACTGTCCCACATGTACTCACAGAATACACCAGGTTCTGTCCCACATGTACTCACACAATACACCAATCAGTGTCCTACATGTACTCACACAATATACCAATCACTGACCCGCCTGTACTCACACACTATACCAGTCACTGTCCCACATGTACTCACAGAATACACCAGTCACCGTCCCACATGTACTCACACAATACACCAATCACTGTCCTACATGTACTCACATACCAATCACTGTCCTACATGTACTCACATACCAATCACTGTCCTTCATGTACTCACATACCAATCACTGTCCAACATGTACTCACATACCAATCACTGTCCAACATGTACTCCCACACCAGTCACTGTCGTACATGTACTCACACAGTATACCAATCACTGTCCTGCATGCGATCACATTGTATACCAACAACTGTTCCTACATGTACTTGTACTTACGTTATCTACCCCACCCAATCCAGCATGTATTTTCGGAAAGTTTCATAAAGCTGTATTGTCTCTTTTCTTTACAGCTTCACAGACAACTACCAAAGGACACAGCTGTGCAGAAAAACAAACGAAAAAAATAAATAATTAAGAGTCATCTATTGTTCGAAATCAGAATTCCTGTGACGTCAGTGATTTTAGTTGAACGTCAGTTTTTGTGCGAAGTTATATCTTGCAAATTTAATATTTTGAGCTTCGTCAACTCTTGTGTGGAATCGACTCTCGCCCGCGAAACTTCAACTCTTGATTTCAAGTCGTCGCCTGTTATACTGTCAGAAGTGCGGACGTCAGATCTGAAGGGTTTTGCAACGCCTGCTCGTGTGTGACGTTAGTTCTGGAATAAAATCGACGCTCGTCTCTGAAGTCGTTTGCAAAGTCAACCATGATGTTTTCAGAATGTATCAAGAAGAAGAGATGGGTAATTCAGAAGTCTTCACATATCTTGCCTAAAGAAAATTTGTTGTTGTTGTTGCTGCTGCTGCTGCTGCTGCTGCTGCTGTTCCTGTTGTTGTTGTTGTTGTTGTTGTTGTTGTTGTTGTTGTTGTTGTTGTTGTTGTTGTAGTTGTTGTTGTAAATAATTTTGTTGTAACTTTTGTTGTTACTTTTATTGTACGCCATAATCAACGACGTTATGGTGGTCGTACTGGAGTCTGTGATGTGACTACTGCCCCTTCTTGTTCAATGATGGCCATTATTATAATAATGATAGCGATAACGATAACGATAACGATCATGATAATGATATTGACAATGGTAGTTGTAATGATAAGATAATAGTAATAACAATAATACTGATAATAACGATAATAACAATAATATAATAATAATAATAATAATAATAATAATAATAATAATAATAATAATAATAATAATAATAATAATAATAATAATAATAATAATAATTGCGCATATCCACTCTCAACAGTATGATCCATGCGCTTTACACCTGTTACTATCCCAGCAGACAAAAGAAAAATGAGAAACATTATTTTCCTACCCTGAAAGCATACAGTGCAAGCTGCGGAATGCACGCCCTCAAACACCATCACACTGTTAAGATTCTCCGCTCTCAATTGTCAGGTACCCATTCTCCCTTGGGTGAAGTGAGGAAAATTCAGTTAGTTAAGGATTGTTTTCCTTTCTTTCCCGATGGACGTTAATGGTCATTCTGTTCCTGTCTCCCCAGGTGGTCCTCGCTGTGCTGTTTGGGATGTCCTTTATTGCCGTCTCTTCCTACCTGGCTTACCGAGAGCTCTAGTGAGTCATACAGACACAACGTGTATATTTCATTTCGCGTGCGCACCTCCTCAGATGTTTACACCTCGCCACACCTATGTATTTCACCCCGTTAGAACTCGTCAGTACATTGTTAAAACGTGGAAAATAAATTTAATGTATTAATGAAAATTGATTTTTTAAAAAGAAAATGTACCAAAGACATGGAGTGTACAGGTGTATTTATTGAAATACACATCGTTTGTACCCTTATATACACTTGAATACTTCACTTCTTCTGTAGACTCATAATCAGTTCTCGTCACCACCTTAAGATACACTTCAACCAGTTAGTATTCGTCAATACGTTTTATTTTAAAAGACTTAATTCTAGCGGTGTTGGCGAAAACTGATTAATAAAGTGTACAAAAGACGTGAAGTATATACCTGTATAGGCGGACTGAGGCGTGCTCTTCAATACACCTGTATGCGTCACGTTTTTGCAGACTTTCAGAATCAGTTCTCGTTACCACCTTAAACTTTGTACTTTTGATAATTGTGCATACTTCACATGCTATATATTCTTCACCTCTTCTCTTTACGTAATTTGTAGATTTCATATCTCTCCGGTGACTTTCCAATGTCTATAAACTTCCTTTTTTATATATTCCTTGTCTGCAAACTTGTACACTTCACATTTCCACCTTTCACATCTATACACTTTTTCACTTCCACCTACATCAGAACATTTCACGTCCGAACACTTCACCACATTTGTACGCTTTTCATTTGTACACTTCACATCTGTACACTTCACATCATCCATAACTTCACATATGTACACTTCATAATTATCATCCATGCATTTCACATATGTACACTTCACATCATCCAAAAACTTCACATATGTACACTTCCCATCTTCCGTACACTTCACATCTGTACACTTCTCATTTGAACACTTCTCCATATCTGTACACCTCACATCCAAACACTTCTCCATATCTGTGCACTTCACACCACCAGTATACTGCACTGCATTTTTTTTTCAGTCAGGTATATAATCATTTCAGCCTGGTAGGCTACTTACAACTATAGTTTTGTTCTTCACACAGCAAAGAGAAGGAGAAAAATCTCATTGTAGCCGTGTACGGGGCATTTTTCCGCACTCCCGAAGAAATTAAAAAACTGGAGGAGTTTCATAGCAAGGAGGACAAGGTGCCCGAGTCACAGGAGGAGGCAGTGAAAAGTTGTAGCTTTACTTGTAAAGGTGAGTACCGAATGGAAGCGATGCTAGAAAGAACTTATTGGATACATGTGATTCTAGAGATTATTGGGAGGATGTGTTACTAGATTTTGGTGAGTGCAGGTGATACAAAAGTTTATTGGGCGGAGGTGATATTAAAGAGTACTGGATGGAGGCCATACTAGAGATTATTGAGTGGAGGTGATGCTGGATAGTATTAGGTCCAAGTGATCCTTGAGAGTACAATATAGAGGTGATACAAAAGAGTACTCGATGGAAGTGTTACTTTAGAGTCCAGTATGGAGGTGGTACTAGAGATTATCGGACGGAGACCATGCTAGAGAGTTTTAAATGGAAGTGATACTCGAAAGTGTGGATGAAGGCGATACTGAGGAGGTAATACTAGAGAACATTGGATGGAGGGGACAATAGAGAGCGTTGGTGGTTGGCGGGTGCTCTGGTGGGGTTTGCTTCTTCTATCCTATCAAACATCTATCGTCCTTTTCTCTTCTCCTTCTTTTTTATGATTCTTACTCTCTTGTAACACCTCTAATCATCTGGCGCTCGCATGACCTTATGCAGTTCCGAGCGCCGTAAAACCGCTACTAAAACAAAACAAGAGAGCTTTTTGATGTAGGTGATACCAGAGAGTCCAGGGCAGAAATGATACTAGTTTGATTCTTCTTCCAACAACAAGTGTGGTTGGTAGCTACAGGGATTGTGTTTTTGTGTATGTGTTCTTACAGGTCTGTGTATATATATACGCTTTTAAAGAATTGCTGCACGTTGGTTGAGCCAGTATGCGTGATAACGTTGATTTAAATCTTACTTTATTGTGAAGCACCTGGAGCCACCAGGGAGTGGGTGCAATAGAAGTGATTATTATTAATATTATTATTATTATTATTATTATTATTAATATTATTATTATTATTATTATTATTATTATTATTATTATTATTATTATTATTATTATTATTATCATCACCATTATTATTGTTGTTGTTGTTGTTTTTGTTGTTATATTATTATTATTATTATTATTATTATTATTATTATCATCATCATCATTGATGATGATGATGATGATGATTTTTTTTTCGTTTCCTTAATGGGCCTGACGGACTTCACGAAGAAATCTTCGAGCGAGAGCGAGACTCTTTTTCGGCTCCATTGTCAATATGCTTAGCGGCACCTCCACTCGTCCAAATAACTCCATTCGAATTGCCATTGTTCCTGGACATTCAAACATATGTTTGATATCCTCCTTTTCATGACCTCATCTTCGGTGATGATGATGATGATGATGATGATGATTACTATTTTCTGTCCCCCCCTCCCGCCTCCCACAATCGCTCCTTGACCATCATCTCCTTCCCTCGCGTCTTCGGTCACACCTCACTCTGACAGCGACAACGATTCCTTCACCCACACCATCGCTAGCTACACCAGCCGCCTATGTACAACGACAACATGCAGACTATGGCAACCAAAACAGCAGTGACCTCATCACGGATGAATATGACAACTTTACGTTGTCCGAAGTAGGGCTGGTGGCTGGTGTGAGGGAGAAAGTGCAGGAGATTCCCCATGGCTGCTGTTTGTCGTGAGTACTGAGCGACTGGGCTCGTCGCTGACGTTGTTGTTGTTGTTGTGGTGGTGGTGTTGTTGTTGCTGTTGTTGTTATTGTTGTTGTTGTTGTGTGAAAGCCTATCCTTCCGCATTATTTCGAACCCCGAAGAGCGTGCTCTTCGCCAGGGCCACCGCCTCTCTTGGGTAGTGAGCGAGGAAGTCCAACCTCCCTGAATCTTCCCCAAAAAGATACAACCGCCGGATCTCCGTAGCGGAGCGTCTATGCAGCCAGTGCTCTCTATCTTAAGGCTACTCGCTGCACAATCGACAGATTGGGTCCGATGTATTGTCGATTTTATTGTTTGTAGGCCCGCAGCCCAGAGAAGTGACAAATCCTGTCGTTTGTGCCATGTACAGCGTGACGTGTATCCTGTACCACACACAAAGGGAAATGTACCCTATAGGTCTCCCATGTACAAAGTGAAATGTATTTTATGCTATTTACAAAACGACATATACTATGTATCATGTACAACGTGACATTTACCCTGAACCACGTACAAAGTGACATTTACCTTATACCACGAATAAAGTAACATGTACCATGTACTACATGTATACAAAGCTGAACGGTGTACTAAGTGTGACCTTGCATCATGTAAAAAATGACAAGTACCCTAAGCCTTGTACAAAATGCCGTATGCCCTGTACCATGTACAAAGTAGTGTGTACACAGTAGACTTTCCATGTACATGGGGACACGTGATTTGTTCTTTGTACAAAATTACATGTACCCCGATCCTTGTACAAAGTGACATTAACCCCGTGTTATCTCCCCCAGACGTCGTGTGTACAGAAGTCCAGACACTCTGGAGGACCAAGATGGGCAGGAACGTCGTTTGGTACACCTGTCACACGCCCGTCAGTATTTTGCTCAGGATGAATGCAGGTAGGTGGAGTCAGAGAATAAGATTTTGAAGTTAATCTCTTCACTGCTGAGTCGTCGTGGTATGAACTCACTTGTGGTATCGAAACTGTTTGGTTGGTATTGTTTTCCTTTTGGTTAGTAGAGAATGTTTTCTAACGCGGAACTAATACGATAGGTAGCATTTTGCATAGCGCAAATCCCAACTCAACAGCAATCTCTATGCGCTTTACTATCTATATTACATATATTATACCAACAGACCTGATAGCATTCTAAAACAAACTCAGCTTCCTAGGAAGCACACAGTGCAAGATGCCATGTTATAAGCGTCAAACACTAAAATACTGATAAGAACTTTCTCTGTCTACGGCCGGTACCGATTCCCACCTGGATGGAGGGAGGACGATTCGTGTAAAGTGCCTTTCCCATGGACACAACATTGGGCCTGATCGAGACTCGATCATCCAAACCCGCAACAGCACGATTGCGAGTCCGTTAGACTAACCACTAAACCAACAACTCCACAGCTTGTGCATATATGTTTACTCTTAAGACCCCCCCCCCCCCCCCCCCGGGGCAGTGCCACTGACTGTAGTGTCTTTAGGCCATTCCCAAAGGGGGGACATTTCTCGTTCAGGCACAGTAGAATTGTAAACGGGCTGATTCATGTCGCGCTCATAACTGTGCCTGATCTATAAAAGGGAACTGCTGCCTTTTCTTTCCTAATCCTTACTAGTCATTTTCCTCTACTTCTTTTGTAAGTTTGTCACACTCTTGTGACCTACTATTTTCGGGGTGCCTTGATAGTTGAAGCAGACCTTGTGCTGTTGCAGCTAAAGAGGTGAGCAGAGTAAGTCTTATTCCATGTAAAGACTTCTCTGTTGACTCCCACCCCTTGGCGCTCATATGACCTTATGCAGTTGCGAGCGCCGTAAAACCCTCTACTATAACAATAATAAAACTCTTAAGAAAAGGATATACTGTATAGATCTAGTATATTATGGCTTTGTTTTAGCTCTATGTAGCGAGCATTCCAGCTTGTCTAAATCAACATAGAGACAAACATCCCAGCGATGAACGGGATTGCAGTACAGCTGAAAGCAGTCTCAATAATGTATAGAGTATACAACATAGTAGAAGTCGATTTATAATATTTGATTTTTTTTCACAAAAGTAATTTCTGGTAACTTCAGAGAATATTGTGTCTGTATTATATTTGTGTGGGAATAAAATGCTCGTGACTAGCTATTAATTCAAAGCACACCAGTGAGCGCAAGGAAAGGGTTAATGTTCTGCATTCTGTTGCACCGTCTTGTGTTCATCCAAGTGTTGTTATTCTTTCGTTGTTATGTCATTCACTTTTATCTCGAGACTTGTAATGACTTCCCTTTTCCTTCAGCTGCGACCCTCTGCCTTTTGTTCCGTGATTCGAATGTTTGTCTGAGTTTTGGTCGTGTCCTTTTCCGTTGCTTCTCTAGCATGTAGTGCTGTTCCGCTATCTATCTATCTATCCATCCATCCATCCATCCATCCATCCATCTATCTATCTATCTATCTATCTATCTATCCATCCATCCATCCATCCATCCATCCATCCATCCATCCATCCACCCATCCATCCATCCATCCATCCATCCATCCATCCATCCATCTATCTATCTATCTATCTATCTATCTATCTATCTATCTATCTATCTATCTATCTATTGTATTATGGTAAGCTGGTCAGCGACTGGTCTTATTCACTCCCTCATTCCAGTCGACGTTCCAACTCACTCTCTCCATTCTTCATAAACTCTCCCCTAACGCTCCTTCATTTTTTATCTCTTGCTCTCTTTCACCTACCCAACAGACAGGCGAGGGGCTGCAGTGGCTGTGAATGCCGACAGACGTGGACTTATCATGTGGCCCTGGTCTGGAAAGAAGGTGACCACTCGGGCAACACTGAGGACTCCTGGGACAACTATGAGCTGCAGATGGTTAAAGCTCGTGGCTGCTGCAAATGTTTTAATAGTCGTAGCTCATAAAGACAGCTTTCACGTTCGGTGAACATTTTCATACTGATAGAATATGGAAATAGTTTTGGACTGTAGTGAGTACAGGTATTTTGATGCTGGTGTCAGAAAAAGTTCCAAGCTATGGTAAATATTTTGATACTGTTAGCACAGAGATAAACTTTCCAGCTACAGCAATTAATGCTTCACTGATCGTGCGTAGCACATGACATGGAGAACGCTTCAAGCTACAGAAAATGATTTGAAGATGGTAGCATAAAGAGAGCTTCTAGTTACAGTAACTGTTTTTATAATGGTAGCTCACAGAGAAAGCTTCCAGCTACAGTAGCTTTAATGACGGTAGCACGTTGAGAAAGCTTTCAGCTACAGTGCAATGCTTTAATCAGAGTACATATAGTGCACACATATGTTTGACAGCTACAGAAATACTTGATAAACAGTAGCACATAGAGATCATTTTTTTTTAAATTCAGCCCTACACAAAGATGACTGCTAGCTGCAGTAAAATATGCATAATGACCGTAGGGCGCAGAGAAGTCTTTCAGCTCTATATAGCAATATCTCCCAGCCTCTTTAATTAAATGCTTTTAGTTTAAAGAGGCAGCTCCCAACTTAAGCAAATGCCTTAACTAAAGACTAGAACACAGACGTAGTTCCCCAGTACTGTGAATGGTGTAATACCAAGAAACCAACCACCCCCTGCTAGTGTAAATTCTGTAAATACGGAAGTACACAGAGCTAGCTATTTATGGTTACTGTAAATTAATGGTTTACTGACGACAGCAGATCAGAGATAGCTCACAGCCAATTTTTATGCTTCAATGAGGGCAGAACACATTGTTAGCGTCTTATGTAAAGTGAAATGAGTAAAGTCATGGATTTGCCTAGCAACTAAAAACATAACTATTCCTCTGGGATGTTCACTTGGAATTTTTTTAAACCAACAAAGTAGAGATTTTCTGAAACTTAAAAAAAAATTTTTTAGTTCAAGTCCTTGACAGTAAGTAAACCCATAGCACAAATATTTTTATTATCATCAATGAAAATTCTCATACTGATTATACAGCAGTCTCCCTCTTACATCTCCCTCTCCGTGTTCGAAAATTATGGAAGTCATAAAAAGATTCCGAAGATTATAAGCTGCGAACTAAATCATTTTTAACATGCACCAAATCACGTGTGCACTGAAAATGTAAAACCAGCCAGCCAGCTATATAATAAATGACTTCTCCACCCTTCACGTCCTGGGTACAGACCATCTAGACTCTAAAGATATAGCGGGCAACAATTCATTTCTGAAGTAAAAAAATCATTAGCGACATATTGTCATTTAAAAAGGCAATCTTTAATTTTTGACTAGATCTAGTATTATTTGTATTTTTACACTTTATCAGCTCAATTAGACCGACAGCATATTACTCCATGACGAGAAGGACATTAGATCTATTTAATCTTGTTTATATTTTATTATGTTACGATTGATGTGGGGTACATGTATATCAATATCAACGTTTTTACAAATACAGTGTGTCAGTGAGTTGACCTATTGCAGAAAGATGAAAAGGATAGAGGGTTCTTTTTTTTTG